AATAAGAACCAAGATGCATTATGTAAAGGTACAGTTCCCAATGAGAAATGTAATTGTGTTGTATACCTACAATGTACCAATAAAAGAATTTAACAACAACAACAAAAAAGTAGTGATTCCACGTAAACTAGAAGCCTGAGAAAGACTTTTTTTTTTAAGATTGCTGCACAATGACAGATTGGCACATGTGTTAATCTCGGGAAACTGACTTTTATTCATTTATTTATTCATTCATTCATTCATTTATTTATTTACTGGTACCAAGGATTGAACTTGGGACCTTGTGCTTGTAAGGCAGGCGGCAGACCACTGAGCTAAACCCCTGGCCCTGGAAACTGACTTTTAAGTAAATGAACTTGAGATATTTTTATGTACCATAATCTGCATTTCAAGCCACATGTAATTTTTTTAATACCACCTGTAAGACACAGGCATATCAGTGACAGCACTGCAAAGGAAAGAAAAAGAAAACTGCCACAGAAAAGGCACCTTAAAGGAAAAAAAAGTAGAGCTGAGGATTTAGCTCAGTGGTTCCAGCACCTGCCTCACAAGCACAAGGTCCCGCGCTCAATCTCTGCCACACACACACAAAAAAAGTAAAAACATGAACTAAAAATAAAAGCAATAACCCTGTGCTTAGCACACATGCGTAATAAGCATAATTTGTCAAACTGGCAATTCTCAACATCGTTATATTGGAATTACTTAAAATTAAGTCATTTATATTAAAAAAACAACTGAGCTACTTGAGGGTTTACTTAACCACTGATTTTTAAAAAACTGCTTATTAAGCAGAGCTCTTCTCAGGGTATCAACTAATGTTCCCTAGCTATCACTTGCTACATAATCAAGATAAAAGAATCAGGATTAAAAAAAAAAAGGCCAAGTTCATAATATGTTCCTGTCACAAACTAGGAGCAGAGCTCTCTCTATTATAAAAAGAAGTAAAAGAGATGCAAGTTAAATTTATACAGCAACTCACCTATTTACAATTTTATGGACTTCAGTCTTTCCGTCATTCTTGGGGTGGTCTGGCGTAATGGGAGGTGAAGAACTAAGCCACTCTTGTTTTGACAAAGTATTATCTGGTGAAATGTCAGTAAATAATGGATCTTCTTCCAGATCTCTAAGTTTAATTTAATGATGTATAAAAAAATTATTATGGTATTTTCTAAACCAAAAGATTCTCTATGTTCTGAGAAAATATTACATAATTTTTCTAGTGTATATATTTAATAGATAAATCACCATTTTATACTAACAGTAGCAAGGATATGTTAATTTTGTTAGTAGGCTGAATGAACAGAAAAATCTCTTGCAATTTAAAATGATGGCAGTAGTATCAGGGCATCTAAATTTTACTCCTAAAATTTTTCAAGCCATTGGAGGTATTTTTTTTAAAAGTATAAGGGCAAGAACTAAAAGGAGGGAAAGTTCTGACCCTGTGAATGCTGACTTCCCAGAGGTAGGTTAAAACTTACACTGCGCCTGCTATTAATCCATTCTCTACCACATCTTTGTCTTCTGGACACAGAGGCTTACATTCTGTATAATTTCTTTCTTCAAGATTTCTTAGGACCAAGTTGTAAAGAATGTGCTCATTGGGTTTTTGTAGAAGATGTTCAAACATTCTCAGTGTCATTATGCTTATCTGAAAGCAAAATTGATAAAAGCTAAGAAATATCTTCAAATAAGCTGTTCATTTTGCCATCTTGTAAGTCATGCCTTTAATTTGTAAAGCCACATAAAACAACGAAGTTGGTTTTAAAACACAAGTATGTTAAAGTCAGGATTTCAAAGACTCTAAGCCCAATATTAAATCACTACACAGCTTACCTCATCAGATATGTGATCACAATGTTCAATTAATCTATGTCTTAAAGGATGTCTGCTAATTTCTACAAGAGTCTCTGGTTCTCTCTGCTCTCCTAGGATGAAAACCACCATTTCTTGAAGCAAAACTTCAGAGGTTACTTGCCGAACAATGCGATGAAGCAGAGCAGTTGATGTGAGAATACCCATCTCAGAACTGAGCACAACAAACAGGTAATTAGTGGGGAAATAGGACAACAACAGTGGTATTTTTGTTGTTCTGTTTTTAAGGAAAGAGGCTACTCACGTTTGCATTAACTGAGGTTCCATAACACCAATGAAAAATCTCTCATGAACAGCTTTGGCAAGAGCAACAGCAGCAGTCTAAAATACAGTGTTAGCATCATTTTGTTAGTGGAAAAGAGATTAATCTGTAACATCAATAAATCAGTTCCACATCTGGAAGTGTGGAGGACAAAACTTGCCTACTGACCACAAACCTAGATTAAATGTTGGCAGTTGGGTTCTTTTTTTTTTAAATTCCCCCAAATAAAAGAAACAGTACCAAAAAAATTATTTCAGAAACATACTCCCAAAGAGAGCTAGAGAGAAGTCATTGTTGTAAAGTCAATGTCTGTGGAGCACTGTACCATAATACAATATAAAGAGATATAAAAGAACTTGAATTTTGATTTGTTCAGAATTGTAATGCACACACCTGATTTTTGTTTTATTTATTTTATCAAACATAATATCTTAAGACAATTAAAACATATTTGGGGATATAAACTAAGTAGTCAAATTTCACTTAGTAGACACTTAAATCTTAAAATTATCAGTAGGTAACAAAAATATTCAAACCTTTTGTGCTTCCTTAATGAGCTGGTCACAATAATCAAACCAGGAAAGAAATGAAATTAAGGCTCGTTTTCCTGGAAATGCTGAAGCATCTTCTTTATGACTATATGAATCCAAGCTGTAGGACAGGGAAGAAATGCTAAGTCCACAGTTATTTAAAAGCATGAGTCCTATTCAGTACATACAGAAAAATGAAGGCACACAAATGAATTCAGTACACATGCTATAATATATTCACAAAGGCAATGCTGGGTGACAATCAAAAAAGGATTTATAAAAGAAGCCAAAGATAAGAGAAAGCCTTTTAAATAAAAGTTGTAAATCATTTTTATTTCTTGAGAGGGAAGAGAGAGACTAAAACTGAATGGATCAGCAGGAGAAAACCATTTAGACAGCTCCTCATAATTCTGCCATAAACTTGACCAAGTAACTGCAATGAAAAGATGGAGGTTCTCAGCTTCTGGGATGCAAGGAAGAAGAAAAAGGAATGGAGGATCTGTAGAAAGACAAAGTGACTGGCCAGCTGCTCTTCCTGCCTTAAATGCAATACAGCCATACAGCCATAATGTAAATAAGTGGCTCTGGCTGATAGATGTTGGCAGAAAATACCACAGAAAAACAAGCAAAAAAAAAAGGGCTAAATATTTGGAGAAAAACAATAAAAAGTAATCATGTCAAAATACTAGGAGTTTATAGGTGGTAGCATTATGATTTTTTTTTTTTTTGGTACCGGGGATGGAACTCAGGACCTTGTGCTTGCAAGGCAGACGCGGTGCCACTGAGCTAAATCCCTGGCCCAGCATTATGATTTTTTTATTTATGCTGCTTTATATTTTTAATAACTTATAAATGTCCTGTAATAACTGTATTTTCCCATGAGAATTAAGTAAGGGAGCCTAAAAAGGTGGGGGAAGGGGGTTAAAAAATGAAATGGAGAGATTACACACACACACACACACACAGGCTATATACAGGACACAGGAGACAGTTCAGAGGCTGTGGACGTTATTTCTAAAAAAAGGAGATCCCTCTTTTAGGGATTTCTGTTTTTAATAAAAATAACCAGGTAAAGTTATTGGTCTTAATATAAGCTCTTAAAAATCGATCGGTATAATGGACAAAATAAAAGTACTTCAACTACAGCACATAACAGCTGGACTGTTCCCACACCAATGTGTTACCACTGAATGATAAATTCAGTGCAAGCCTCAGGAAATCTTCCCACTTGACAACCTCTAGCAGTGTTGCCTTTTTCAAAACTAAAGATTTCTACTGTTTTAAAAGGTAGGTATACTAAGTCAGCTTTACGGGAAAATACAAGAATGATACTTACCCCCAGTTAATGGCTTCCACTGTTTCGATATCTAAGGGATCCACGGACTGAGGCAGGGCCCTGTACAGGGAGGCGAGTCTGTCGGTCAGCAGTTCGCACAAACAAGTGGTCTGAGTAAGGCACTTTGCAGCTGCGGGCTCTGGCAAACTTACTAACAACATCAAGCCCTCACATGCTTTCACGGCTATTCGGCCATCCTAAGGGGAAAAATACAGCCCTTCAATTCTTAAATTAGATAGAAATAGAAGCAATTAGACTGTTTAGGACAATTCAATATAAAAGGATTGAATCTTTTATATTAAAAGATTTTTTTCCATTCTAAATGCATGCTATTGTGATTATGTTGGGGGAAAAAAAGTAAAGATGATGACTCACAGGGCTTCGGGTAAGATTTAATAAAGAATTCACTAAATTATAATCCTGGTTTGGACGGACGACAGAGGCCTCTGGCAGGGCAGTGGCACTGAGGTCACCCAAGCTCTCGGGCAATTCGTCGGATGGGGGCTGGTCCTCCAGCTCTGCGGGCTCGGCTCCAGCAGCTGCACACAGCTCTTCCTGCTCTCGGGACTGTCCTGTACCAGCTGACAAGGAATCCTGACCTTTTAAAGCGTCTTCTGAAATTTTATTTGGTGCTCCTTTAGAAGCCCATGACTTCAACTTGTTCTGCAGAGGAGTACATGTTTCATAAGGTTCACGTTAAGAACTCTATGCACCAGAAGTGACACTCAATGGATCTTTCCATAATTAACATTCCACACACCTAAGATAGCGGTGAGTGGTGTTACCGGTGAGTGGTGTTACCGCAAATGAAAACATTCAGACTTTTAATGAACCGTGTTTTAGGCCCAGTTTTAAAATTGCAAAGAATTTAATGACCCTCTGCATAATAACTACAGTGTTTACACCAACCCTAAGTAGTGGTGATAGTCTGGATTACTACAGTATTTACTACTTCTAAAAGCAACATCGGTGGGGAGAAGTTTCAATTTCAGTTTTTTCCTTGTCCCTAGGTTACTGTAAATATATCATCTCAATGTTAACTTTTCTAAGATTGTCGGCGGAGGGAAATTTATCAACAAAAATACTTTAAAGTCAAAAGTTGCCAAGCTTAGCCTTCAGGTTTCTACAAAGCCACCAAATTTTTTAAATATGTAAGAGCTTTTTCTAAGTTTTTTTTCTGTAAGTTTCTGCTCTATAAAAACACAAAAGGCTACTTTGAGGATATTTTTGTTTGTGTCTGAGGATAAGATTTGCTTGAAATACTAGTGTACCTCACCCCAGACACAAACCAAACACAGAGAGAGTCCTAACTGAGGCAAATGATCAGTTTCAAGGGAAAGGTATGTTACTTTCTATTTGGACATAAGAGCAAAATCAGATCTCACACACACAAGTTAAAATTCATCATGAACCAGCCTCTCCACAGGGCCTGTCACACTGCTGTGCCCATCACAGAGGTGCATTAAATAAAGGCTGAATGAATTCAGGGTTCCACTTCCAAAGTTATAACACAGTAATTGTAAGTCTTCCTACTGCTTTAAAAGTGGGGCGGGGGGGGGGGAAGCTCCTCGAGCGACTGAGCTTACAGCTTGCACATTAAAAGAAAACAATTCTATGAAACTCAATGAATACTCCAAACAATGTTTTGCCAGGTTCCTTCGAAAGTCAATTGCACAGCAGCATCTTTTTTTTTTTTTTGAGACTGGGGATCGAACTCGCGTCCTCGCACTTGCAGGGCAGGCACACAGCATCATCTTTATGAAAGCAAAACGTTTTACTCCATCTAAAAATACTAATAATATTGTTGGAAGGGGGTCTCAAGAACAAAAGGAAGAACCACTCCTTCAGCCAATGTTTCTCAAAGTGCGATTCAAGACCAGCACCTCAGTCTCCTGTGGGGCTTGATTTAGAACAAAACACAACAGAACACAAACAGATTCCAGGTCCCATCAAGATCTTCTGAATGAGACTATCTGGAGATAGAGCCCAAAAATCTGCATTTTGAAAAACTCCCTAGGTGAGGAAGAACTGCTGCCCTAATTCTTACACTTAGCTTCTACCTTGAGCGACCTCACAGGTCCCCACATATTTGTGGACATCATTCCTGAATGTCTTGAACACCCCTCCCAAATCACAGATTTGGAACACTACCAAATACCTGCTCATTATCTCCATCAGGGTATCATGAAAATCATCCAGAACCAAAGTTATCATCTTCCCCTCAAAATAAACGCTCTCCAAGCTCACTCGCTTCTTTCCACTAAGCAGCTCCTTACTGGAGTTCAGGATCTGGACCTGAGCAGTTAGACCACAGAGAGACTACCTCTACACCCGAAGCAGTAGAACCCCCTTCAGCTCAACCTACCGCTTTCAACTTAGTTGCAGCCCTTGTTACTTCTTGTCGGGGTTAATCCATCACCTTCAGGTTGGTTTCCCCACTTTTCTCTCTCCTGTCAAAGGAACTCACTGTACAAAAAATACTGCCACCAAATGTCATCTCTTACAGCACAGACAACGTCACGTAACAACATCCCTGCTCAAAAACTGTCAGCGGCTCCCCACTGTCTACAGGTCAGCGCAAACACCCATCTTGTGGTTCAAAGCCTTAACAACAACTAGTCTCCTGTCTGTCTGGGCTGGCATATATCCAAATTATACTGTTTCTTGGACATACTCCATTCCCCATGTTCATGCATTCTTACCTAACGTCTGTCAAGGCACATTTCAAAGACCTCTATCGATGAAGTCTTCCCTGATGACCTCAAGCAAATGTCCTATCTTCATGCTATGGACACTTACGGCGGTCACTGCAAACTTCTTATGCTTCTCACCTTAGCCTCCCTTAGATCACTGTATCTGAACATTCACTTTACCATCTTCATCAGACTGTAAACTTCTCTGAGCAAAGACTATTTCTAACCGATCTACCATATACTGTATACTTAACCCAGAGTAAATGCACATGGTAACTAATATAACTGAACAAACATTAGATTTCAGGGGACAAAAGCATGAGAACTGCAAAGTATTTTATTACTATCTGTACTTAAAGCAGTAAAACTGCATTCTCTGAAGATTTATTCATTCAATAGGAGTTAACTGGGCAGTTACTACAGTTTGTGCTAGACATTAGAGGAGCTGTGAAGACCCAAAGATTGATGAGAGAGTCCTTGTCCTCAAGGAGTTTATTGACCAGCAGGAGAAATAAAATGTACACAAATAATTCCAATGCAAGGGACACTGTAACAACTGACATTAAAAACATGAACAAGGTTAACCATTCAGAAAAATGGAGATCGTTGCCACTCTAGGCTTTGGAGAAACATGTACTATAATACGCAGCACAAGCCTGACATGTCACTATTTGTCGTGAGGTTTAAATGAGAGTATTTCTCTGAAGACAGGTACACAAGGTGTATCTCACCACTAACACACACAGACCTGCAAATTTCCTCTGCTTCTGATCTCTGGCTATATACTTCTGAAGGAAGTTTTAGAGACCTTGAGAAAGAAACTCATCAAATTTGGGGAAAATCTTCCGCATCTAAATTGCACTAAGGCATCTAAGGAAATTCTCAAAATCTCGTATTTAACCAAACTGATCTCTTCTCCCTTCTCTCTCTTCCTCCTCTGCTTCCTTTCTTCCCCTGTGGTACTGGGATTGAAGCCAGGGCCTCCACTCTGAGCTATACCCCCTAGCCCCTTTTCATTTTTTTATTTTGAGGCAGGATCTTGCTAAGTCACTAAGTTACCCAGACTGAGCTCAAACTTGCAGTCCTCCCCCTCAGTCTCCCGGAGTACTGGGATTACAGGCCTACACCACCGTGCCTGGCAAACTGATCCGTTTCTTATAAATATATTAAAACCAAAAGAACTATAATGCTACCCTCATTAACAAATCTGTAGAAACCTGAAATCTGGAATACTAGAGGAGCTGTGGGGATTAATGAGGTAGAGTCTTTGAGCTCAAGGGGCTTACTGACCAGCAAGAGAAAATGAAGCACACACAAACAATTCCAGTGCCAGGGAGGCTGTGATAACAGACGTCAAGAGCATCCACACACTCCTATCCTCTCAGAAAAATGGAGAAGGCTGCCACCTCAGGCTTTGGAGAACAATTTTGAAGCAAAGTTGCAAAATAAGATACAAAATACGATGCACATCATGAAAAACGGGTGTTTGCTGTCTTTAACACTAACTACAAATTTAAATTTACAGTTTTGTAGCTGGGCTGCTAATGTACTTCCCCAACAATGCATTATAATAATAATAAGATCCTTATTATTTATTTAAAACGTGAAATAGAAGACAAATCCATCTATTAGGATGGCTAACAGTAAAAAGCAAAACAAAACCCTGCTAACACCCAGTGCTAGGTCAGAAAATAGAACAGGAACTTACATACACTGCTGAGGAGATGTGAGAGGACAACGCCACTACAGAAGAACGGTCTGGCGGTTTCTTACGAAAATAAGTATACATCTACAATATAACCTGATAATCCCGCCACTAAGCATTTTTCCAAGTGAAATGAAAACCTAAATTCAAACAAAAGTTTGCATGTGACTGTTTAGTGGCTTTTTCCATAATTGTCAAAAACTGGCAACAACCCCAAAGTCCCCCGTCAGAGGAATAAACAACTGCAGCGCTGTCCATACAGTGGAAGACTCACCAATAACGGAAACAAAATCACAAAGGAATCTCAAATGCACTGAGCAAAATGGCACATTTGTATCACTCTGGGAAAGAGAATACTATCGGAACAGTAGATCAGTGACTGCTACAGGCAAGGGGACAGGAAAGGATAACAAAGGGGCAATGATGAAAATACTGTATATTTTGATTGTGGTGCCACTTACATAGCTGTGTTTGTCAAAAATCACAGAACTGCAGACCAAAAAGAATGAATATGTAACTTACACCTTAACGCTTAAAAAAAGACAAACGAAAAAGACAAGTCTTTAAACTAAAAAGACAAACACACCATAACTACCTTTTCTAATATACTCCTAAATGTTTTCACCATTAGAAAAAGAAAGTGAATGAAAGCAAAAAGTAACAAAACTTATTTTCTAGTTTAAAACTGGAAGTCAAATCCAAAATATCAACTGTGATTTGGTGACAATCCCAAGTGCCGGATGAGGTCGGAGAGTTAATTACAGAGTTAACTGTGATTATTACAGCTGTACCTACCCTCCTCACCCACACCGGACTGTCCCTGTCACACATGAGTTCCAGCCGCCCAAAAACAGGCCAGGTCACAATCTCCTGTGAGTTCTCCATACAGCCACAGTCTTTCTAACCCCTGGCTTTGTATCTGTCCAGTCTCAGCACTTCCCCAAATATCTGGCTCGTCTGTATTCTTTGAAAATCTTCTTGCCCTAAGAGATCTCAATTTAGAGTCAAATGATCTTCAGTGCAAAATAATTCTAGGAAGTGAGACAAACCATGCAACAACTTGCAAAATGTAATTTCTCTTAAGATTATTTACAGAATACAATTTTCATAACAAACTGAATAAGCACACTTTGAAGTGTAAGATGTATAGCTTACCTCCAGAAAAAAATTAACCAAATAGGGATCCTGTTTCAGCTTTGCACACACAATACAGAGAAACTGAATCTCTTCATTTTCCGTTGGTGTTGCAAGCACTTCACCACAGAGTCGAATTAATTTCTGCCAAAATATTTTTTAAACTTATAAATATATGTAAATAACTATTTACCTTATATTTAAAATTTTCAAATATTGGAAATATCTTGTATTAATTAGACAGAACATTAAGAATATTTACCATCACCTATTTGTAAGTAAATTTACTAGTAATAAAATTTTCAAGTTCATTATCCACAGTTAACGGGGTATACAATAAACTTTCCTCACGAAGTCGTGGAGGTAAAGTAAAAAGAAAATTAATACATAAAACTTTAAACAGAACTATAAAGATATGAAGTACATGTTATACAGTCATGCATAAGGAAAGCTCTAGAATTTGCTAATTTTTACATGTTATTTTTAGAATAATTTCTTTTATTAATCTTAGTCTTATAAAAATAATATAAAACTGCTTCTATTCTAAAAGAAATTAAGTGAAATAATTTCATCTAAGAAGAAGAAAATACCTGCACAGGCCTGTGCACGTTAATGTGTGGAAGCAGTGGCTGCCGGATTCTCCCCAGAAGCTTAGTGTAGAACACCAAAACCTGCTGTTTCATTCCTGGAGGACACTGGAAGTAGCCAACGGAAACCAAACAGGCAAAGAACAGAAAATACAAACACGCTTACTCGAAAGCTTAAACAATGTTTATAAATGTAGCCCTCAAGGCAATGTAAAAATTGGCCACTTAATGATTTTATCAGAATAAAAAATTTTTTTGTTTCTTGTTTGTTTGTTCGTTTGTTTGAGACAGGGCCTCGCTATGTAGTTCAGACTGGCCTTAAACTCACTATATATAGCCCAGGCTGGCCTTGAACTCACAGGAATCCTCCTGCCTCAGCCACCCAAGTGCTGGTATTACCTGCATAAGCCACCATGCCTGGCAGAATAAAAATTTTAATTAACATTAATGGCTGCCATTCTGGAAATAAAGTTATACATTCGAACCCTAATATAGTGCGTGAGACCATGGCCTCTGGTAATTACAAACAGCATGGTGATAACATGCGGTAGAGACGAGAGAGTGCTTTAGGCGATGTCAACTGGGTGAGAGCTAGGTGAACATGAAACTTCCTCCTTGCCAAGCAAAGGCCGAATCTTATTTATACTAATGACAGGTAATCAACACTTTCCATCACCTACACACAGGAGTAAAAGAAATCTCTCTCTCTCTCTCTCTCTCTCTCTCTCTCTCTCTCTCTCTCTCTCACTGTGGACTGAGTATGAATCAGGAAGGTTATCGACTCTATTACTAAGCAGTGGATACCACTGCACATATAAAATAGTCACAAAAGGATTTATTTCCAAAGTATCATAACGACATGCTAACTGGAAATAGTATGATCTAAGGACTATAAAAATAATTTTTGTAACCCGATATTTTTTGAGCTAGCAAGTATCTTGTATTATTTAGATAAAACACTGATAATATTTACAATCACCTATGTCAAAATACAGTTACTACTAGTACAATTATTAATTTAGGGCTCAAAAAATCATCTAATACTTATTCAATTTTATGTTACATAATCTCTCCAAAGAACAGGACAAACAAGGGAGGAAGTGAATGAATTGCAAGTTATTAGGGAACAAATTTGTTGTTCAGAAAAATATAAGTGTAATGTATCTGACTTAAAAATGAATTGGAACATTACAGACTTAGTTAAAAGGAAATTGTTTTTAATACTATTCACAGATCTCTTTGATGTTAAATGTACCCGTTAATTTTAGTTTGATTTTTCAAATGTATTAAAGAAAATTACAAAAAAGAACAATAGATTTTTTGAATTAGGGGATACTCATTAGCGATCACTTCAATGTTTTTAAAGAACAGAAAGATTAACCAGAGGTCACAGGGTGCTGCTAATAAAGTTGCGACTGGAAGCCAGGCCTCCTAACCTCGAACCAAAGTTCTTCGTCTTCCCTCACACTATCAAATTCAAGGGGTGAACAAAAAATATGGTGAATGTTTAAATTTTTAAAATTTATTACAATAAAAGACACATTGCCATAAATCCCCCCTCAAAATACTCCCCCTTGCTTTGAACACACTTATCCGATTGTTCTTGCCACTTTCTGAAATAATTCTGGAAGTCTTCTTTCGTGTCTTTTCATGTCCCAAATTGATGAAAAGTATTTATGGCAATTTCTGTCAAATAAAAACATTATGGTATGTCTTCATCCATGTTATTCACCAGATCTGGCACTGTATGACTTCTGGCTCTTCCTCAAAGTCAAAATGACCAAGAAAGGTAAATATTTTGAATCAGTTCAGGACTTTGAGGCAGCCATGACAGCACGACTAAAGATACACAAAAGAGGACTTCTGGAACTGCTTCAGAAAGTAGTACAAACAATGGGATAGGTGTGTTCAAAGTGAGGGGAATTAATGGCAATATATCTTTTACTGTAATAATGTTTTTAATTTAAACATTCACTGCACATTCCAGTCATACCTTGTAGTTTGAAAACTTGTCTCTTAAGTACAGTCATGTACTACACAATGTTTTAGTCAAAAGCAGACTGCATATATGAGGATGGTCCTATAAGTTATAATGGAACCAAAAAATTCCTATCACCTATTTTTTCTGTACCTTTTCTATATTTAGATATGTTTAGATACACAGATACTTACTGTGGGGTCAGAACTGCCTACTATTCAGTACATGTGTGTAGCCTCAGGGCAGAAGGTTCTACCATCCAGGTTTGTGTAAGCACACACTATGATCACACAATGAAATCATCTAATGACACATTTTTTCAGAACATATTCCTGTCATTAAGCAATACAAGAATATAATTTGAAAGTTTTGTGGCACAAAATATTATTTATATATGAGCTTTTTCAAAGAGTTTTCAAAATTCATTAGGCCTAAAACTCTGAATTGATTCTACTCATCAGTTCACTTAAAATCGGAATAAACAGTGACATTCTTCAAAACACTGAAAAATAACTTTTGTAGCCCAACTGTCACTAGGTTTTCATTTCGTTTGATTCTGAGCATATGTACTTGCACATATTTTCATAGAGGTTTACAATGAAATTCTAAACAGCCCAAGTATCGCTTTTGGGGAACTCTGCTATCTCTGTGTATGTCAGAGTTTTGTACAAGCTGCTCAAGCTGCTCCCTCAAACTTAACTTGAACCATGCCATGTGCAATATGTACCTCTATAAAAAAAAATACATGACAGTTTCTTTATGTCTAAGGCATTATTGCAGCTATTACATACCCACAGACACGGTGTAGACTAGGAACTTACATCAGCTTTCCCCAAGGTATATAATGTTTCTAAGATCTTGTGATGGAGTAAATATTCCATACATGGCCCCGTCTCTCCAGATTCCCTTTCATTTTCTTCTTGAACCAGTATATCTAACATCTGTTCCAGATGGGATGGAATGTTCGTATCAGTCACTGGGGCTTTATCATCTAAACAATAGAAAAATATCTATCAAACATTCAAATATTCTTAAAGTGCCTATTTGTGCAAAAATACCACCTACATTTTCCTAGTCTCAAACTGAGAAAATCCGAACAACAGTTACATGAGGTGTTATTACACTGTACTATCTTTGCAAGAATTAAGAAGATGCTTTTGCCATATTCTTATTCAAAATCTGTCCCAATATTCTGAAATATATTCTAGCTAATATTCATCTATAATAATTTAGAACTAAAAGCCACTTATGTGGGAAATGGGAACATGATAAGAAAAATACATGTAAATATCAAGTTTTAAAAAATATATTTATAACTTAAAATTTTTTTTTTACTTAGCCAGTTCAGAAGATCTGAATTTTCAGTCTCTTGGTATAGATATAGGTTGTTCTTGAACATTAAGTTGAGTAGCCCAAGATACAGGGACAGGACTGGCTCCGTTTTTGCATTCTACTACAGTACTTTCTAGCACTGGGCAGTCAGCCACTTAATGCTCTCACTCTCTTCCCATCTATGAAAATATAAGGAGCCAAAAGGAAAACGTGCTATTAAAATTTCTGCCATCTCCTCTTATTAACACTAGCTATTTCCAAAGTCTGTTGTTTCAAAGTTGCTTCTTGGGAGAACATTACAGATTTTTAAAAATAAAAAGTTTATTGCTATTTTGAAACATACCACATGTGGACTTGAAAACTACATCAACCTTCCCTTACTGTATAAGAGTTAAAGTGCTCTTAATAAACTGTGAAGTTTTATAAACTAAACATAAAATTCATTAGGAGATCCCAAGTTCTTACTTCTGGCTGAAGCAGCATTTACTGGGTACTTTTGCAGTTTGCTACAACAATCCTACTAGGCTGTTCACTGACACGCTGCTTTGATCATGTGCGCGTGCAGGCACACCGAGTAAATCATGATCCTCAGCTTGACAGAGAGAATAATGGAAATGGAAGGGTCATCCTCATTTCCAAGCTGGACATACACATCTAATTTGACAGGGTCCAAGACAGTTGTCCAGAGTATGGGTGTGGAGTTAGACAACTTGGATTCCAATCTCGGCTCTGTCACCTTTAGTTGGATGACCTGGTACAAATTATTCAAGCCTCATCATCAACACCTATAACACAGAACTAATACACAACAGTATACGTGTTGGATGACCACAGTAAAATAATATATGGAAAGTCCACTGCATTAGCACACAGTGAAAATTCAAGAAAGACTAACTTCTTAGCTCTCTTATTACTCTTCTAAAATGAGGAGTCTCCTGCTAAAAAAAGATAATTTGTAAGTCTGCTATTATAACTCACTTTTTTTTTTTTGGTATCGGGGATCGAACTTGGGACCTTATGCTTGTGAGACAGGCGGTTATAATACACTTTTTAAAATATGTTTTTCTCCCTGTAAATGCAAATATATATACATACACATACATATACATTTCAGGAAAGAATGAATGCTCAAGCCAGGGATGTAGCTCAGCACCACAGCGCCTGCCTGGCACACTCAAGGCCCTGAGTTCAATTCCTGATACCAAAAAAAAAATTCCCTTCTCTTTCCCTTTCAGCACTAACTACCACTACTTTGGCTGAGGAAGAATGAATGCTCAACTTTGGTTTGAATACAATTATTTATGGGGAAAAAAGGACCAGATCTTTAAGACTAAGAAAAACATTAACTGTAAATTTAATTTGACAGGATTAAAATCTTAACTCCCTGGAAGACAAGATCTACTTCTGTTGTCCACTCTCAGTATTTCTAAACCATCAATGCTTCCGTGCCTTTGTACATGCTATGCTTTCTACCTGAAATGTCTTTAACCTCCTTATCTACTTCACAAACTCCTATTCATCCTTTACAGCCCAGATAAGACAATGCCTGTTCCTATTTCTTCCTTCTTCATTCTTTCTGTACCTGACACTTCAGACTTAGTCACTTGTCGCTTCACTGTAATGCACAATTTGTTTCTGCTACTAGATGGAAAAAAAAAAACCTCTGAAGACAAGAACTTGTGTGTTTAAAACCCTAGAAGAAGAAAAAATTGTAAGAGCTAAGAAGAGTAATCTGAAAAGGCAGCTCCTCTTACAAGACATTTCTGTAGATCTGCTGGCTAAACATCAAATGACGTTTAAACCGTATTTTACATTTCATGAATGTCTTTCTATCCAACTTTTATTTATTGCTTAAATAGAAAGACTTTTTTCAACTACTCCCACTTTTTTCCTTTGTCAGCTGGCACATGTCTGATCGGAACACCCGCTGGTGTTTCGCTGCACACTCCTCAGGGGAGCCCACAGTGCCACACAGCAGGGTACCACGTGTCCGTTTCCGAGGTTTCCAAAGTTTAGCACACAAGTCCGATTCCGCCATCATCAGTTTTTAGAGAATAAAGCTGTATCGGAACAAAGGATTCTCCTTGTTTTGCATTTTGTTGACAACAGCTTTTGCACTACAACAGCAGAATTGAACAGTTGCAAAGGTGACTATATGGCCAAAGCCTTGAATGTTTGCTACCTGGCCCTTCACAGGAAAAGTCTGGCCCCCTTGACCTACTTTCCTCACACTCCATGGCTTCTCCTGTCCCTCCCGTTCACTGAGAGAAACATGACATCTAGACTCCCTGCCCTTATGCTCTTCTTCTGCTTCCCATCTTGTGTGATAAATGAGAGGTCACCTCATCTTTTTCTTGCGTCAGTCGTTTCCTCTACTAGATTGTCCCTATCGAGTTACAAACTGCAGTATCTTATGTCTTTAAAAAATATTTCAAAACTCTTGCTGCCACTTCCCCCTCAGTTCCCCTTTACGCCGACACTCAAGATGGCAGGCAGTCTATGCACACATTTTCCTTCCATTTTCTCCTAATTAGACCTTTTCTTTCCTCCCTGTCATTAAAATGGATTTTTATCCAGGAAACTCAACTCATGAGCTTTTTGTGGCTAACTCCAGTGACCCATTCTTAGTTTTCAGTGTCATTTGATACGATTAATCCCTCACCCTTCTCTGGCATACCATTCTCTCTTGCTATCTTCCACCTTGGACAAAAGTAGCTCCTTTGCTACTGTTCTCTTCTTCCGACCTCTGAACACTGAATCTAAAGGTGTTCCTGAACACCTTATTTCTTCCTTCTTAGATAATCTCCTGCAATCTCATAGCTTTTAATCCTTCTTATGTAATGATAACTCTTCACTTCCTATCTAGTTTCCACCTTGACTTATCCAATCGGATAGGTCAATGGCACCTCAAACTTAACACGTCCAAAACCCTCTTCCAAACCTGTTCCTCCCAAGTACTCAGTAAGTGACACCTCTAACTCTTCTCTCGTTAGACTTAAAACTTTAGTTGCTTTCATATTCCTACATACCCAGTATCCAACCTATCAAACAGTTTCCCTTCAGCATACGTCCAGAATACAGTCATTTCAGCTCTACCCAGTCTAAGCCACCACTAATGCTCTCTTTTACTCCCCCACTCCCGCTATTAGGGAAGAAACCCAGGCAGGCTCTATCACTGAGCTATATCCGCTGCCCTTTTTATTAAGACAGGCTCTTGTTAAGTTGCCCGGGCTGGCCTTGAACTTGTGATCCTCCTACCTCAGCCTCCCCAGGAGCTGGGATTACAGGCATGTGCCACTACCCCCAGCCCATCATTATCTCTTGTCTGGACCACTATAATAGTTCGCTAACTGTTCTGCCAGCTTTAACCCTTTTTACTTCAATTTCTTCTTCACAGAAGCCAAAGTGATTGCATTAATATACGGACTGTGTTACAGCTCCACTCCAATCCCTTCAAAGGCTTCTTGGTATAGAGAAAAGCCCAAGCCTTTACGACAGACTACATGCTACATGCCCCTGTGTGAATCCGTACCTCCCCCGTGGTATCTAACTTCATCTCCCGCCAGGTTTCTCCTCTGTTATCTGCTGTGGACACCAGGGCTTCCTTGTAGTTCTCAGTATCCTCCAAGCAGGCTACAAGCCCAAGCCCTGGGGTTTGTGTACTCCAGGCTCTCCCTGGGGCACTCTTTCGCACTTATCCAGCAAGCTTGGTTCCTCTCACCTTTAGATTTCAGTTCAGAAGTCACTTTGAGCACTGTAGCTTTCTCTTATCTAAAGGAGCTAGCCAACGACCATATCCATCTCCCAACTATGGAATTTCCCCCCTTCCCCTGCCTCACTTCCCCCTTAACATTTCTCAGGTGACACACTTCCTGTATTTGTCTGCTAACTGTTTGCTTTCCCCCAAATCAATACAGAAGCTCTCTCAGGGGGGCTGTTGCCTGTGTGACTAACTACTCTATACCTGGTGCCTAGAACAATGCCTGACACATAGTAGATGCTCTCCAGATACATTTTTAAATAAATAAAATGAATCGAAAAGTTAAATTAAAATTGTTTAAAGTTACATATAAAATAATTTTTAAAACTTACTTTGAAATAAATTTTAGTATTCACAAATTCTCTATTTAATGAACTGATATTAATCATTGTTACTTACCTGAAGTCTCTATGTAGTAATGGGTAATTGCCTTCCAGTGATAAACAAAATCTTCTTGTAAAGGAAGAGAAGGTGCAAGCTACATAAACACACACAAAAGGACCACAACAATTAGTTCCATGTCATTAAAAGTTTCCCATAAAGTGTAACTCTGTATTTGCCCATTATGCTGCAAAAGCAGCATAAAAATAAGGGTTGAACTTCAACTTGATTCTGTCTATCAGAGGTTAAAGAGAAACAAAGTAAAAGGAATCCAAGAAAAAAAATGATTTATTATGAAGGAGAAAATACACATTTATCAACATTATTATTAAACTACAGTGTTGGGCTTTTTTTCTTTTCCCAATAACTATGTGGCTTAAAAAGTAATTATGTTTTTTGTTTGTTTGTTTTTTTGGTACCGGGGATTGAACTTGGGTCCTTGCGCTTGCAAGGCAGGTGGCGGAACCACTAAGCTAAATCCCCAGCCCCCAAAAAGTAATTATGTTAAATCTAAACACACCAATATTCTATTACTGAAGTATCAGTAAAATGAAATTACTGATAGCCAGAGATCTCTGTACCTAGGACTTTGAAAGACAAAACAGTAAATGCTGCCACGCAATTAGTTCCACATCACCACTATTACAACATACGGCAAAATCAAGGTCACAATCAGATTGTGTTCTCTACTTTCAGTGACGTATCAATGTAAATCTTTTCCTACTTAACCCTGGATTAGGTGGTGCATATTTTTAGCTAAATAACTAACCATACGAACAAGACACTACCAATTTAAATCCCACAAAGTCAAACATGTTTTACATTTTAAGCTTTGAAGTTCCCTTCAGAAATTTTAAGGTCAAAATTATATCTCTTCAGCTATCTCAGTGCAAACTAAATGTGTGTTAAATGGATAGAAAAAGACCTCCGGACATCTTCTTTTCCTTAAAACAAGTGAAGGTGAGAGTCCCCTATTCTTAATGTCATCAATCCATTCTAAGGGCCAGGGATTTAGCTCAGTGGCACTGCACCTGCCACACAAGTGCAAGGTTCTAAGTTCAATCCCCGGTACTACAAAAACAAAACAAAACAAAACACACAAACAAAAAAACACACAATCAATCCATTCTGGTCAGAAAGCGGAGCTGACCCCGCTGAGTTTAGAGAAAACAGGTTTCTATTCTGAGAACCTAAGATATGGCAGAGTAATCTTCCATTTTCATATGCTTCTTCCACACACGATCTACCCTCCTCACTCCAGCCTGACTTCTTAGCAGTGACCTCCAAGTTGACAACCCTGAGGACAATTTCCAAACTACTGTGCAAAGTATAAACACTGGTCACATACATCTTAAGTGTTTCAATACAAAAGATGAAGTGTACTTCTTTAAAAAGCCCTAAAAAATTTTCAGCAAATAACATCTTAATGCTAACTCTTCAACACTTGCCCATTTGCATCACTCTGAATGGAACTGGATCAAGAAAATATAAATATCCACCTTGTTTTTAAGGGGAATGCTGTGAAATCTTTTTAAAAGACTGTAAGAAAGGAGTTCGATCCCTGGTACTGGGGGGGGGGGGGGTGAGGGAGCTACAACCTTTGGGACTATTATACTTCAAGGAGAACATGGAGAGAGAGAGACTTATGGGAAACTGAGGAAAAATTAGGAAGAAAATTAAGAATGAAAGTATGTATTAACTTGAGAAAACAGAATAATCACTCTGAAACTTTTGGTTAAAAATCTTTAAGTAGGCTATTATTTTCAAAATATCCAAAATTTCCCTACTTTTTTGGTTCCAGCTTTTATAGACTACCATTATATTGTTAAATATACAAATAAGTGGGGCAAACACAAGTGGAATTTACTCTTTCAAGACCCGTATCTATCTTTTTCAAGCATAAATGTAGTGATTTGTTAAATTGTTTCAGGGGAACCACCTAGGTCACTGCAGAGTTACAGCACCTTTTTTCCAGGTTATTTCTCCAGTGGGACTGGATGTGCTTTGAGGGTGTGTCACCCCGAAAAGGTGCGGAGACCTTCCCCGTAGGTTACGGTCGGCTCAAAGCTAAAGAGTTAGTTACTCCTCAGTACCTTGCCTCTCTCCCAGGCAAGGCCGCTAAACAGTTCACATTGCTCATTTCGCTTAGTTACAACCTTACGCAAACATTAACAGATGTCCTTACTTAAGACTTCCTAATAAACCTGGCTTTTTGGACTAATTCTAACATGCAAATTACTTATTTTATCAGTGTAGAAATACATTTATGGTCTGGGTTTAAAATTTTTAACAAAGAAAGATGCGCAAATCAGTAATAAGAGGAACAATTTAACTTTTACCGCACAGAGACTAAATTTTTAGAATTCATGCTCTGTCTAGCCAAGGCGGGCGCGAACACCTGACCGAGCCTGGCCCCTCCCTTCCTGGCACTGTGCACCGGGCTGCTGAACTCTCCTCACCCTCACTCCAGTTTGGTCACTGTTCAGTCATCCACCTCCTCCACTGGATTGTGAACTGTGTCAGGGCTGGGCTGGTGTCCTCTTTTTCAGCATTCAGTCTCCTCTTTCCCACTCAGAGACGGCACAAAGTATTCAGTAATAGTAAGGGAAGAATCGCACGGCTCAGCATTCAACATGACACCATGGGCAGGCTACAAAGTTTGCGCACGCTGACTACATGGTCTTAAATTCTCCCAACAAATTCCTATCAAAGTCCCAAAGCAGCTCACTGACATGCCTAGGAAACACAGCTTTTAACTGGAAACTGGGACTTTCTTCAAAATGCCCATTATACAGAAGGACCTACGTGGATAATTCAGATAAAAACTAGTGTTTTAACAGCCCCCTCTGCTTTAACTGCCTCACTTTCTTTCTTCCTTTTTTCCCCTTCATACTAGGGATGAACATAGGGCCTTCACAGTGAGTTCTATCCCTAGCCCTTTAAAAATTTTTTAAAATGTTGACACAGTCTGGCTAAGTTGCTAAATTGCCTTGGCTGGGCTAGAACTTGGAATCCTCCTGCCTCAGCCTCCCAGAGTGCTGAGATTACAGGAATGTGCCAGCACACCCAGCCTTCCCTCACTTTTCTACCTCTCCATAATCTAGCTGGTTTTATTTCTTCCAGAGAACCTTCTCCAAATCCTACAGAGTGCTTGCTCCTTTCCTCCTACAGACCTCATTGGCCTGGCTGAGCCAGTCAATTTAGCAACAATGATTACCATTTGCTAAACACTTACTAGATCCCAGGTACTGGACTAAGCACTTCCTGTACACCTTAAAACATTTACAGCAACTCTAAGAAATGGATCTAATTAATACAGATAGCACAAATGGGGCTGGGAGACCACTCCCTCTACATTCATCAGAATTTGGGCAACACCCAGGGCCAATCCCTTTCCACCTAAGAAAAACAGAAAATAAGAATAACAAAGACCCAAGAACTCTAAAGCACCAGGTCCAGGTCGAGCACAAGGCTGTTAGATCTTAGAGCCTAACCTTTAGTAACCTTTTCTGGAACTTCCTTAAAGGTCCATACATACCATCAATGGCATCTCAGGTATGACGCTCCATCAGAGTGAGTTCTGGGACAGGCATGCGTATTTTGGTGCCGCTAAGGTGCTCAGCACCCTGTCAATCATTTCTGTCAATCTTACCGGGCCGAGACCCAGGGAGAGGTCCCCCAGGTGGCCTTTTAAAATCGGATTCCTCTGCGGTGCCCTCACTTTTCTGTTCATGCCCCCTTTTTGTTTCTTGTCACGGAGGGACGGACAGACGGACGGACCTGCCCGGAGCACACTTTCTCATTAGTGCCAATAAACGGAAATGCTTTTTATTTCGCCACTGGATGTTCACTTGCACTTCTTTGCCTGCCGTACACAAGAACTTGGAAACTCTCAGTTCCATCATGCGGGGTATCATAATTACTTTCACTTTATAACGAGGAAATGGGAATGTACAAACATTTGGCAACTGTCCACGTGGAGAAGTGACACGTAGAGCTGTATTCTGTCTGAATCTAGAAGTCAGGTCAGATTCTTGTACATTCCTTATATTATGATTTAACTTATGTATTTAGTTTCCCAAAGCAAAGCACTGTGATCAAGGACACAGATATCTGGTACCTTGTTTCCTTAGCTGTGTGCTATGCTTTCATTGTAGCTCATAAAACATTTGCTGAATGAGAGAAGGACTGAAGTTAGAGATCACTTGTTGGACAATAACACATTTAAGGGAACATTATGAACAGGTGGCAGACACACGTAATCCCAGAGGTTGACGCAGGAAGATTCCAAGTTTGAGCATAGCTTGATCAATTTAATGACTTAGAAAAAATTTAAAAAGGGCTGGAGATGTAGCTCTGTGGGAAGGTCTTGGGTTCAACAAGGGTTGGGGAAGAGATAAAGAAAACATTACGTGTAAGTCTGAGGTTTAATTCCCCAGGCAGAGTAGAAGAAATGCTAGTTTCAACAATTTGATTAACTAACTCTATTATTTGAGGATAGAACATCGATCGTATTTGAATTCCAAAGGATGACTCACACTGAATGGTTAAAATGCATAAAACTTTCTTCTTTGATGTTGCCCTTTACCCTTCCCAGAATAAATCGACAGCCAGGGCCAGGGTTGTTGGACTGGCTGGAATGTAAGAAGAAACAGCCCGTGGCAATCACCTGGCCAGGACTAGGATACTAAACACTAAGGAGTGCTGAGTGGAAAGGTTATCTACCCTCTGGAAGAGTTGTGCTAAAACAAGTTAACCTCAGAGTTTTGGGATTTTTTCTGGTGGTGATGGGGGCTGAACTCAGAACCTTTGTGGTGGGCCACATCCCCAAACCTTTAAAAAATTATTTTAATTTTGAGAAAGGGTCTTAAGTCACTAATTTGCCCGGGCTGGTCTGAAGCTTGTGATCCTCCTGCCTCAGCTTCCTAGAGTGCTGGATAAGAGAGGCCTGACTTCAGACTTGAGACAAGCGGCAAGTAGAGAACAGAACACATTCATCTGGTAAGACTCCTAACAGCCAGTCTTTTCTAAACTTCGGGACAACTGTCCTTTCTGAAAAGGGAGGCAAGAATTACATTACAGTTCTTGTTTCTGATCAAGGTATGGATTTCTCCTATACTCTTAATGTAGTATGACAGCTTAATAACACATTTTCAAATACTAAGCTTTGAAAATATCTTGGTTATATTTTCCTCTGGGTAAGAAGTCAACAGGAAGTGAACAGAAACCACTAAATGATATGGACAACTCATCACCTGACCTCATTTACATGAATATGAATCAGATCAACCTTAAAAACGCGATGTGAAGCCTGACCCAAGTGAACACTGAAACCTACAAAGTGGTCACAGCAAAAGGGTGGGAAAGCCTGACCCCAGACTCACAGCAACAACTGAACAAAGGCCATGTCACCCTCCAGGCACAATGTCACCTCCCACCTCCAACCTGGGGAACTACAGCACCTGGAATACTGCATCAGAAATGGAGTACAGAGAAAAGCTCATGAAATGAGGAATAATAAGATCAGCTGATAGAAGAAAACATCATGTAAAAAACTATGGCACACAATAACTGGAAACTAATCTCCAGTTATGAAAAACCACTCCTTAAATACCACAGAATGGCTTATCATTGTATCTACCTTCATTCTCAGGAGAGAACGTTAAAGGGAAGGCATTTTGTGAGATTTATCTCCTCCCCTAGTGAACTGGGTGGGAAACACTAGCTGGAAAAACTACTGATGAAAACACCGCTTTTCTGAAGGCAAAGCATTAATTCCTAGGACCAGGTGAACAGACTCCACCTGAACTTTTGCACAGTGGGGAGCCCAGATATAACAGAGGCAGAGACAATTTAGGTGTATGATTTGATAGATGCTAATAATATGCACAGTGATTAAAAAGATTATGAGGACAGAAAACACAGGCCTCAGGGCAAAACTCAGTCTGTGCGGGGGGGGGGGGAGAGAGGGGGGGGGGGGGGGGGGGAGAGTAGCAAAACCACCTTTCCAAGCACACATTTCTGTAAATACCAGCCTGATAGGTAAAGGCTATAACTAATTTAATAGAATTTTATTCCCAATTATCTCATATTAAGCTATATTCAATGTTAGAGGTTAAATGATTCACATTTTAAAGAATATAAAAATCTAAATATTACTGCTCTTATACATTTTGATTAAATTCTTTTATATAATGATGCTGCAGACTGTGAATAAGAAAGTAACACTAAAAGTTTGTCTACAACTGTCATCTCATGGGTAACAACTCTTCTTCATTCCTGACACTCTTTCTTGAAAGGGCTGTCCTTGAGCTAAACTTTTTAAAAACATTTCCCAAGTGTCACTTAAATAACAAGTACACTAAAGCTTTGTTTTCACAGCCGAAATAAAACTGTTTTTGTTACCTGAACATGAGAAACTCATTTTGTTGTGGATTTTAAAGTGCTATATCCCATAACCTGAACACTGAAAGAGAATACTATTTTTAAAATAAGCAAAGTAATGTTTCTTTGCAGAATGCATTTTTCAATTCGGGCATTTCTCCCTGAACACAGCAAACAACTGAAGTCAGGCGACTATCCCTCTTATTACTAAAACAGCAGCAAAGCATTCTCTTCAGTTTCTTCTCCTTTATTAAGACATTTGAATACTGTGCCTCTCTGCTGGCGTCTAACCCTCCAAGGAGCCTACAATTGTAGGAGAAACCTAGAACGTCCTGGAAGAGAATTAAGACAAAAAAGCAGCAGATGGTCTCTACGTGGAAGCTGTCGAAAGCAAACTGGATCGGACCCGCGAACTCCCAGCGCAGGCCCATCGATCAGGTCCGGCAGAGCTGGGCCGCCAGGCCCGGGGGACAGGGGCCGGCACGGTTACGAAACGAGCCGGCCCGCCGCATCCTCCCCGAGCTCCCCGGGCCAACCTCGCCCCTCCACCCCGGCCCAGGAGCCAAACAAACCCCAACCCCGCGGTTCTTTTGTCTCGCTCGACCCCGGCCCTTCTTCCCGGGGGCTAAGGGTCAGCGAGCCGGGGGCTCCAGACCCAGGCGGCGGGGCGGCGTCCCCCGGCGCCGCGACGGGAGGGCGGGCTCTGGGCCGGGCCTCGCCTCTCCGCGCCCCGCCGCCCCGGGCCTCGCCTCCCGCTCCCGCGCCCGGCTCCCCGCTCCCCGCTCCCGGCCCGCCGAGCTAGGCCGCTGCCTTCCCAGCCCGCCGAGCGCCGCGGCCCGCACGGCCTTACCGCCTCCACGGCGTGCTGCAGGATGGAGGTGAACTTGGAGAACATCCTATCCCGGGACTGCAGCAGCCGCTCCCGGGACGACCTGGAGAGCTCCTCGATCAGCCGCCGCCGCCCCTGCTGCGGCTGCCGGGGCCGCTCCAGAGTGAAGGCCGGCGCGAGCGAGCGAGCAGCACGAGCGGGGCGCCGACGCGGGGCCGGCTGGCCGCTGCAGTGTCGGCCCGCCGGCAGCGGGCGGCGGCGGACGCGGGGCCGGGGACGGCGGGGGTGCGGGAGGTGGCAGCGCGGACTCGGCCCCGGAGGCTTCCGCGGCGGCGGCGGCGGCGGCTCGGACACCGTGGCAGCCGGAGGCTCGGGTTCCTTCCGCCCGCGCTGCGCACCGCGGCCTGCAGGGGGCGCCGGGCCGGCCCTCGCCTCGGGCTGCGGGGCGGAGTCGTCGCTACTGGGCTTCCAGGCTTCCAGGACCCGGGTGTTTGGGTTCCTGTACTATTCAGCCGCTGTCACGGTTTTTCTCCGCTAGAAGTAATATGATGAATTCGTAAGGAAACGCATACAGTAGTCCTTCTAAGAACTTGGGAGGCCAGTAAGAAAAAACCGTATTCCTAAAGCAAACATGAACAGTGGGTTTAAATGTTGATTTGAACAAATCAAATAATGCAGATGAGATGGCTTTGCTAACTGTCGAATAGGTTATTATTGGTATTCAGCATTGAAACAGGAAGTCCCAAATAGACAAGTAATATGATGGTTCAGTTAAATAATTCAGTATAATAATTTGTTACATGTTTGATAGGTGCAGCAATTCAGTATAACATTTTCTGTGAGGAGAAGAGTCAGAAAGGATTCTACAAAATGCCTAAGACTTATCATCATGAAGTACAAGGTGAGGCTTACACTGAAGCTTTTAAAAATACCATACAACTATAAATTAGTCAAGCCTCAAAGAAACAGTTCAGCTGGGCAATTTTAGGTGAGGTTGATAGACCTGACAATGTGCCTGTCTTGGAGTCCTTTGTGTTGTTTTATGCTAGTACTGCTTTGCCAAAAGGACCCCCAAGTTCTTGATAAGCTGATTTGGCATAACCAGCAATGAAAATACGTATTCGTAATTGCATTAGTTTAACAGAGAAAAGCTAGAAAAAGTCATAACCCTATGGAGCAGGTTAAGAGAGCAGGCTCAGAAGCTGGTAGCCAGTTCAAATTCTAGTTCTGCTGTTCACCACAAATCACTGAGCCTCTTTGTGCTTTAGTTTCCTCATCTGTACAAAGTGGAGAATAGCACTTCCTGAAGTGGTTGTGAGAATTAATTATAAATGTAAATCATTTTAACAGTGCCTAGTCCATAGTGGAGATGCATAAGCATTTGTTTTTACCCTTGTTAGTATAAAATAATAGGGCCAGGAATGAAGATTTAAGGAGACTAACTAGTCTTTTCCCCCTGTTTTTGTTGTTCATATCCCTGCTGTACTCAGTGGCAGGTAAAATTGACCTAAATTTTTTGTAGTCCAGCTTCTAGGTATCATTTGCTAAACATTGAAATGTGCTCCTTACCAAATTCTGGCACCTTCTTCCTGCTTCTACCAAGAATACATAATGTTTATAATTACTATTCACACTGTTTAGGAGAGTCATATTATTTACCATAATTATTTTCTCGGCCTAATTGTCATGCATTCATATGGTATTTTGTTTTCTCCTAATGCCTTGTAACCACTAATTCTATAAGGAGTTCTATTTAAAATAGGCTTGAGTTGTTTGCATTTGATGCCTATCATTGTACACTTATTTTAGACATAAAGTCTATATTTTGCTCTAGGTTGATATCAATACTAGGGTAAGGATTCATCTACCTAGTACCTAATTTCCAGGATATACAGGTTGGATTAGAATTGTAACTGAGCAGATATTCCTGTTTCTTATTCTCATCCTAGAATGCTGGCCCGACACATCCCTGCCAGCCTAATGCATGGGAACAGTCCAGCCTACCTCAGCAAATTGTGATTTGAGGCAACACAAGAAAGGGCTTCTGTACGCCTCCAAAGCACATACCAGTGGGTTTGTTTCTCTGAAACTTCTCGATTAGAACTTCATTTCTTTATTCCTTCAACATAAGTCAATTCAGAAATTTAGTACCTGTTAAAATAAAAATACCACAGAAGGAATGAATTTGTTAAATTCTTTTCCAAAATTAAGTAAGTTTAATCAATGAAGACACAGAAAACCCTAGAAAACTGAAGCCCAGTTAAAATGGAGTTGAAAAAGGAGATAAAACAAGAATTAGATGATGCCTGCTTCCCAACTTTGCTAGACTTTAAGTATGTGGGTGAGTTTAGCGGCATTCGCTTCCCAAACCCCACTGAAATGAAGGAAAAGGATTTGTTATGGTTTATATCTAAAATGTTCCCCCAAAGCCTCATGGGTTCATAGGTGGGGCTTTTGGAAGGTGATTGGATTGTGGGGGCTTATAGCTGAATTGCTGTTAGGAGGTGGGATTCTAGTCAGAAGAGGGGGTAACTTGGTTCTCTCTTTCTTTCCCTCTGTCCCTCCCACCCTCCCTCCCCACTGCCATCCCGGGAGCTCTTTGTCTTCCTTCTGCCATGCTGCCCTGCCTTGGAGCCAACCAAGTATGGACTAAAAGCTCTACAGACTGCGATCCAAATTTCCTCCTTTAATTGGTAGGTTTTGGGTATTTGTCACAGTGACGAAAAATAACAGGATTTTTCAAGATAAAACACAAAAGGACAAATAAGTTGGGGGAGAAGTTAAAAGGCAACAGAATTTCAGGAATTGAAACTATCTGTAAAGATGTGAGCTGATGTGGCTGAACTAAGAAGGCTGAATCTTTTTTTTTTTTTTTTTT